CAGGTATGAAAATCTTCTTTGTCACCATAATGATAGATTTTTACTATACCATCACATATTCTCCCTTTACATGTTTTGTAAGCTATGTCATCTGTTGTACTACTTCTTTATTTTGCTTGCCACATTGCAGACAGGATCCACCACAATTGATACATTTTTGTCACCATCCCAGTGATACATGTGACATGCCTGAACCAAATGGTCTGATGACTCCCTTTCTGCCTCAACGTGCCTCTGAAGTCTTTCTTGAATTTCGTATCTGTTCTGTGATACACCGGTGCTCTGATATGCACAATTTTAAGGTGGTGAAAAAGGCCAGGGGCTCCCAAATCGCTTTCTGATCATGCTTGGGAGATGGTGTAATTTTGAGGTAAGCATGAATATAAAGTGAATAAATCATGGAGTCTCTAATTCGGATTCTTGTTTAAATAGAATGCACAAACCGCCACGCCTACGCATGTGCATATATGTTTCGAGATACAAAGACTTCTAAGTACCGTGTAAGAAAGATTGCATTGATCCGCAAGTCCAACTAAAATGCAGACCAAGTCTGCCTTCTGATCACCAGAGCTAGCAAACTGACTTAGAAACTGTGCCAAACTTGTTGTGTAGGAAGATCGCGCCATTGTCCATATATGCTATTAGCATGCTTGTTCAAAATGTATCGCTTGTCAATTTATAGTTGCAGAACAGCATTTTTTACATTTTGTCTTCTGATGACGGCAAAGGTCATCCGAATGAACTTGCTCGCATTTAGTTACAGAGCTACATATATGATCACGCAATTCCAACATAACTTTCCAGCATAAATTGACTTTACGGCAAGCTAGATTGCCGTTTGAATTTTCTCAGGTTGCTTCAAAAGGAAGATATCCCAGCGATCAAATGTGAGCCTATCCTTCTATGAGATGGATCAAATTGACCTTAGAGGCCTTCTGATTTCGAACCGAGAGTTGAAATTCCTTTTTTTGCCCTGCAGCTGTTGGCCATGCTTTTTGGTCTATCTTTGCCTTCGCAAGTCCAATTTAGTAGCCGTTGAACGGTGTTTGATCTGGGTACTTCCCAAGCTCGCATGATAGAGACCGTTGTTGCGTAATCTTTTGCTAGCACTAGTATGTTATTGTGATGGTTAAAATCCAATCAAGAGAGATTGCCCTGCCAGTGCTAGTTCATGTTACCTCAAGTTATGCTTCATAGGAGTGGAGACTCTTCTGGTACCCCTGGACACGGTCAAGTGTTATCTCTGAAATCGTTAATTCAGTGGGTGGAAGATTACCAATGCTTCACCAGACTTCACCTGCGATGAAGATGAAATAAATATTAGTACTAATTAATCAATATTTGACACGGTTTTATGAGGCACTTGTCCTTGGCGAGTAGCGAGCTTACTTACCATCGCTTCAACACGCGTCAAGTTTGGGTCTATGGTCGGTGTGGAGAGCGAGCATTTGCGTTGCTCAGGCTTGATGGCGAATTTCTTTAACCCAGTCTACGTGACATGCCTCGCGGTCTTCCCAACTTTGCGACTATATAACACGACCCCGTTCTTCTCCATTTCTTGACTCATCCACTCACGACAAATCCATTTAGACAGTTTTGATTCAGAAGCTACAATAAAATTTCTAAAATGCAGTTCATCCCAATCGTATCACTCTTATTACTCTCGTGGTATTCGTCTGTATCCGGCACATGCTTCACCACCGGCCCGACTTGGGGAGATGCCAACCAAAGAAAAATCCTGGACGATAACATTGAGAACCTCTGCCGCCAAATGACTGGAAAGTTCGCTGTTGGTGCCGCTGCATCAAGATGTTTAAAAGGTGGTGAAAAGCCGGGAAATAGATACGACTTCCTTTTCCGAAATGTTAATAAGGAGGAACGGACGCTTACAATGGAGACCTGTACCAGATTGATAAGGAAGGACATTGCTACTTGTCCGATGGGGGCATATAATCAGGGTTCTAATTGGTGGTACACGTGAGTTACATCATTCCTTCTCAGATCTTGTAGTCTTTTGGGTAGCTATGTTTTTTCGCAATTTACGTATGGGAACTCATTTCTCGACTTTCTTATCGTTTGTCTGCTTAACCACTCATACGATCTTTGGATTGAACAGCTCTGATCCAAACGAAGGCGAGTGTCTCACCACAGGACCGTGAGGAACACACTTCAACAACTTATGTGTGAAATGTAAAGATGTGATGAAAAACCTGCATGTCTTGCCTTGAACCTGGAATCCCGGAATACTTATACAAATTGGATCGGTCATCATATACGCTTTTCTACATATTTCCGCTTTTCCTCTTCTTCCGAATTGTGTGTTTAAACTTGTAGGACAAGGTTTTAGCTTATTTACATCAAAGGTACTCATGGATTGAATGGTGGGAATTTTTTCAAACATGCAACCTCATCAGGAATGTTTTCCTTTTCATTTTCTTAAAAATAACCCCTCGAATAAGTTGCTTAGCCATGATTCAGAAATTGACTGTGTGAATGAGACGTATTGAAAAACTTGAAACGGGAAGTTCAAGATCTCTCCAGGTGAAAATAGTCCCTTTCAAGCTTATATGAACTGCTAAATCACCCTCAGTGAGACCCTAGGATCAAGGTCAACTCAACTGATGTATATACAAGATTGCTTGGAAGGTATCGTTTGTTGTGACGTGAGCTATAAGTCTCTCTTATTCTCGAGAGATCGAGATAAAATGAAGCAGCGCTTGTTCCTAGGTGAACAAATTTTATCTGTCTTCATTTTTTTCACTTTGAGGAAAGGTTTAAGGAGCTTAAGAGATTGAGTATATGAGAATGACTTCTGATCCATGTGATGTTGAGGCCGAGCTCACTATCGATGAATGAGATATGCCAGTTTGATTTATGAAGTTCGATTGACAATGATAATCTCATCAAAGGAGCAATCTATTATTTTCAAAGTTACCTGATTTCACTTCAAAGTTTGTCATCAAACTTCATTTCTCATTGACTTTTTCTGTTCTTCTCAAAAACCTCTTCATTCATCTGACAAGAGAAACAACATATGATGATACCACTCCACTATCTGTCAATTTTAAAACTAGCAACATACAATATACGATATTCACCCCCAAATTCTCGTCCGATCTTACCAGAAGCACCGTGGTCAGCCAGACTTCCCTTGATTCTAAATCAATTAAATTGGGAAGAACCAGATTTAATTGGAGCTCAAGAAGTTTTAGATCATCAATGTATCGATTTACTTGAAGGCTTAAATCAATTAGGTTATACTGGGATAGGTGTTGGACGTGATGATGGGAAAAGGTTGGGAGAGTATGCACCAATCTTTTGGAAATCAGATCAGTTTGAATTAGTTGATCATCATTACTTTTGGCTAAGTGAAGAGCCTGATGTACCAGGTAGTATAAGTTGGGATTCAGTAAGTAAACTTCTCAGCATCACAGGTAACTCATTCACTCAACAATTTTCTATCAATCAGGGTCAAACGAGGATGGTAACATGCGTTGAATTGAAGCCCAAGTTGAACACCGTTCAAGTTGATGGAATCTTTCAACTACCTGGACAAAATTCTTTAGATCGATCAATATTTGTGATGAATACTCATTTTGATGACAGAGGTAGCTATGGTTAGTCTTCGTCTCTCTTGTTCACAAAATCCCCTTCAAGTTTTGAGCGCCAAGTACACCTTTTGAGTCTTATTTCATTGATATAGTTAACTCTGACCAAATCACCAATCTCTTTCCACAGCTCGAGAACAATCTGCAAAGCTCATCCGTTATCGAGCAGAAGCACTGATCAAGAAGACAAGCAAACCTGTATTTTTACTTGGAGATCTGAATTCAACTCCAGAAGAATTACCCTATAAGACATTAACAACCGAATCCACAGGCCAACTATCCTTTAAGGATTCTCGTCAAAACGCAAAACACCTCTACGGGGCTATTAACGCTACTTATACTAGCTTCTCAAAGAATCCCTCTGTCCAAGGTGTAATTGATGTTGTAATGTTGATGGGATATCATTGGGAAGCAAAAAAGTATGGTGTGATTCCTAATAGTTTTGAGGATGATGAGTATTATGCTAGTGATCATAGGCTTGTATGCGCTCAATACGTCAAAGTCATTGAGCATTGAAAAGTATTACTAGAATGCCATATGCAACAAATATCTCGAATACCATCGAAGACATCCACCTGTGGCGATTGGATGAGATCATGAATATGTTTTGTAGACGGTTTTCTTCATTGCTTATGACTCGAGAGACTTCTCCATCAGTTTTTCGGAATTCGGTTTCGAGTCATAAATCCTTATGATGAGAGGCATTCTTAAGACCTCGAAGTTGAAGTTCAATTGTCAAAGCGTTCAATGCGAGATCGCAGTATCTCTCGGTGAAGGTGACAAACGATAGCTAGATATTTTTCAAATGTCGCACAGGTTATTTCTCCAACGATCTACAAATTCAAAAACCAAGAGATAATCCATAGTAGCACATCACGGAGCGGTAAGGGCCTCGAGTAGTATTGAAATTGAAAAAATGACTTCACTCAGCGAGCCATGAGTTTAATCTTCAACTCTTCTGGTACCTGCTTCAAGTTTCCCCATAATTCAAGCCCGTCATCATCAACAGTCATATCAGGTAGACCTAACTGAGAAATAGTAAGTCCTGCAGACACAGCGCCGCAATAAGAAGCTTCTACTAGTCCAAGCCCCTTTGCCAAACCGGCCATTAAACCACCCTGGATGAGTAAGAATCCAAATCAAGTCAACGAACCATTCACGGCAAAGAAGGATTGGAAGATCAGTGAATCTGAAAGTAATTGATGTTAGACACGAACTAGAAATGCGTTTCCACCACCAGTTTGATCAATGACCTTTGATTGATCTTCAATCATTGCAGGAACCCAAGTTCCCTTTTTTGATTCTTGATGTGTAAGTACAAAGGCGCCCATTTTACCACAACGGATAACAACATTTTTGAATCCATGGTTTTGAAAAACTCGTGCAATATCCTCTATCTCTTCTGGAACCTCATCAGACGGAGTAATAAGTCCAATGAAAGATCTAGCTTCTAATTCGTTTGGGCTGAAGACTTCAATATGTTTTGATAAACTGATTAATTTTTCAAGGTTTTCCGGTAGACATGAATCTGGAATAGGTTCATAGACAAACAATGGAGACCAATTCGTGATTTGATGTTGATCAAGGTGAGAGCTGATCTGACCTGATCCAGTACGAAGATTTTGAAGGTCTTCAATCGTTTCATTCATCCGACTAGGTGAACAAATCAAATGAACAAATTTAGGTGTATGACTAGCAATATCAATAAGTTTAATTTGACGCTTGGGAGTCAAATATTTAAAATCACGTTGCGTATTTGAGTAAATGTTTAAAGCTCGAGTCGTTAAAGGATGATTAGGATCGTTGATAAAAGTAAAGAGAGATGGAGAATAATTTAACAGTCTTTCTTCGATTTCGGATGGAAAGTCTTGACCTTTGTGGATGAGCATTAAGATCTGCTTGGGCGGTAACCTATCCTGACAAACCATCCAAGTGAAACCAAAGAACAAGATCTTCGTGTCAGTGATTAATACGAGAGACCATTGATTTCATCTCATCAATGTGTTCAAAGTCTATTTCCAGTTATGATTCTATATGCCGTTATCAATAAGAATGGTATACTGACCAGATTCGAGCACCTATGGCAGCTAAACATGAGTCATTTGGGAAGTGCACAGGTCAGTGACTCGCGACTGATACTTGAGCAAAAAGACAGAAATATCATAACTCACCATATGTACCACCACCACCAATATGCCACTCATCAGGACCAAAAGTAGGCTTGTGAGTCACATTGAAATCCGCCGAGTATTCAAAGCTCTGCAATTGAAAATTCCAAGATCAGTTCGGAGATACAAATCCGTCATGAACTGCCGTCGCCGAGAGACGCTTAGAAGTGCTTCGAAGTACATATGGTTGACGCGATGGTTCTGATTATGGACATGCTTGTGGATATATGAAAACAGATCCCCCGGAAAGACTCTCCGTGGTTGGCAAATACTGAGCATAATGACTATATTGAAATGTTCAATCCATCGAAATAAAGAGACACCGGCGATATCGCATCGAGAGTACTCACATCGAGTATGAACATGCCTAGTATTGAAAACGAGGAATTCGATTTGTATCAGAATCATCAGTTCACTAGGCAGACTTAGGGCCGATGGCATTTGGGGCAGGGAATTGCACAGGTAAGATGGGCAACAGACTACGACCCCTCCTGCTGCTAAATCTTGACTTTGCAACTGAAATCCGCTCAGGCAGAGAAATGACTCCAATACGCATCTTGCAGAAGCAGATCGATTGGAGAGAACCAGAGAGGAAAGTTTATGATAACGTTTGGAAGTTCAATCGAAGACTGGCATGAATGACGTCATGTGGTGAAGTAAAGGGTTATCAGAGCAAAGGATGAAATTGCTATCTAGCCTCACCGAGTGTAGCAACTTGATTGACATCCATCGGGCTGAACTTCGAGTCTCTTTCCATCTCAATTCACTAGAGCTTCGTTATCTTCAATAGTTCCTTCACTTGGGTTTTGAACTTGATCTTCGTGGGTTTCTTTTGAACTTTTCGATGTGACCAGATATGACCAACATCAACCGCCCCGACAGAACTGTCGGATATGTAAAGGCCTAAATTGGGGTTCGGATATCGCCGGGCTGCCATCATGTGATTCTATATCACGACGGCTGCGGTGTGTATCCTTCTTGATGTCATACCTCTATTTCCTTTGATTCTGAGTTGAAGTGCACCTTCCATAGGCTCATGAAAAATGGTCGAGCATAAGTAGAAGTGGGATCAAGGTTTCCACCCCTCAAAGTTAAGACAACACACAGATCTGGCGTCATTGATCAGTAGGTTGCTGAATTTGCTTGAGTTCAAAAATACCTTTCAAGAAGATGTTGCGTTTACACACATCGTTTGATTCCCTTAATTCATTTGGTCCTTGAAAAGAAAAATGTTGTATACTTATCCCTTGTTGAAGATGATGTTTACACAAGATGTATCTTTTTCTCAACAAAGACTTTGGGTATGAAGATTAAATGCAAAAAAACTACAAAATTTGAAAAACCGAGAGGAAGGGGATCAATTTCATATCTTAACCCCATTACACGAGTTCTGAAAAAGTAAAAAAAGAATGTAAAAAAGTTTTCATTTGTTTTTGATTTCAAAGATCTCATTCAACAAACGTTTGATATGCAAGATATAAATTACAAGCTAGAATGATAACAATGAGCGTGTAATATTTGACAAAAGAGGGTGAAAAACTATACGAAAAAAGCTACAAATGCTAAATAAGAATCCAAGAAATGATGAACATGAAGGATAGATCAAGAAATGAACGAGAGTGATAGTATTATGGTTATTTTATGTTATTGAAAGTTTTAGATCCTGTCTTCTTTGACAATCGATCAACTAACTCTAATGAGCCAAGGATAATGTCATTGACGGTCAAAACAGCCACACCTTTCGAGTCATGAACTGAGGACGACCAGCTGAAAATTGAAAAAATATCCATTTGTACAAATATCGTTCTATCAATACTATATCTGATGAAATCCGACCCAGATCCGAAGTTTACTCACCTGATAATTATAAGAAGTCACTATAGCTTTGGAAGCGAATCGGATTTTTGAGAAACAGACTCCAAATTCTCAATAAACTCTTCATCCTGAGGATCCCGATGTAACCAATTTGGTATTCTCAAAGACAACAAATTTTGAA